AGAAGCCCTCCTGTTCTCCACGAATTACCTGTATTAACTGCACCTGTTTGAACACGTTACCTGTATAAAAGACACCTGTCCACACACTCAATCAAACAGACTCCAACCTCTCCACAATGGCCAAGACCAGAGAGCTGTGTAAGGACATCAGGGATAAAATTGTAGACCTGCACAAGGCTGGGATGGGCTACAGGACAATAGGCAAGCAGCTTGATGAGAAGGCAACAACTGTTGGCGCAATTATTAGAAAATGGAAGAAGTTCAAGATGACGGTCAATCACCCTCGGTCTGGGGCTCCATGTAAGATCTCACCTCGTGGGGCATCAATGATCATGAGGAAGGTGAGGGATCAGCCCAGAACTACACGGCAGGACCTGGTCAATGACCTGAAGAGAGCTGGGACCAAAGTCTCAAAGAAAACCATTAGTAACAAACCATTAGTAACACACATGTCCAGGCCCGTCTGAAGTTTGCCAATGACCATCTGGATGATCCAGAGGAGGATTGGGAGAAGGTCATGTGGTCTGATGAGACAAAAATAGAGCTTTTTGGTCTAAACTCCACTCGCCGTGTTTGGAGGAAGAAGAAGGATGAGTACAACCCCAAGAACACCATCCCAACCGTGAAGCATGGAGGTGGAAACATCATTCTTTGGGGATGCTTTTCTGCAAAGGGGACAGGACGACTGCACCGTATTGAGGGGAGGATGGATGGGGCCATGTATCGCGAGATCTTGGCCAACAACCTCCTTCCCTCAGTAAGAGCATTGAAGATGGGTCGTGGCTGGGTCTTCCAGCATGACAACGACCCGATACACACAGCCAGGGCAACTAAGGAGTGACTCTATAAGAAGCATCTCAAGGTCCTGGAGTGGCCTAGCCAGTCTCCAGACTGAACCCAATAGAAAATCTTTGGAGGGAGCTGAAAGTCTGTATTGCCCAGCGACAGCCCAGAAACCTGAAGGATCTGGAGAAGGTATGGAGGAGTGGGCCAAAATCCCTGCTGCAGTGTGTGGAAACCTAGTCAAGACCTACATAGTCAAGACCTACAGGAAACGTATTATCTCTGTAATTGCAAACAAAGGTTTCTGTACCAAATATTAAGTTTTTCTGATGTATCAAATACTTATGTCATGCAATAAAATGCAAAATAATAAAAAATCATACAATGTGATTTTCTGGATTTTTGTTTTAGATTCCATCTCTCACAGTTGAAGTGTACCTATGATAAAAATTACAGACCTCTACATGCTTTGTAAGTAGGAAAACCTGCAAAATCGGCAGTGTATCAAATACTTGTTCTCCCCACTGTGTGTGTGTGTGTATATATATATATATATATATATATATATATATATATATATATATATATATATATATTATATATATATATATATATATATATATATATCTATATATATATATATATAAAACGAGGGTTGTTGATGTGTTTGGCTGTATTTCAGATACATTTTTGTATTGATGGGTGCTTGCACTGCATCTCATTGGCCGAGAGGGAACCAATTATGGTAAATAAACCATCAAACACAGGTCTCAGTCCCCCCTCCCATTACCCACGAGGCATTGCAGGGAGAGGAATTAATTGCTTGGAAAATCTGATGCACATCTAATTTATCCACATTCCCATTTCTTATTTTCCGGCTTCTCAGAGAAACGGAAGACACAGCAATCAAAGGGTTGTAGGGTTCATTATGAAATATTTATTTAAATTGTTTCTGATAGGCAACAAAAAAAAAGAAGCTTATTTCATATATAAAATATCCACACACATGACAAAGCACATGTTTTGTCCAACACCCCTGCACCCCCTGTTGTACACGGTGCCTAAGCTACACAAGAACATGGACAACTTTCCGGGCAGACCCATCAAGTCAGGGATTGGAAGAATAACTGAGAACATCTCACTCTATGTCGACCATCACCTGAAACCCATTATGTCAACTCTGCCATCTTATCTCAAAGACACAGCTGAACTCATGAGGTTGGTGCTCACGACGTTGTCTACTTCCTGCAGTGTAGCGGGACCGCAATGGGCACAAGGATGGCACCGAACTTTGCTAACCTGCAAAAACAGTTGGAGACATACCACAGTACCCCTCACCCTGAGGACCAACCTGTATGGTCTACCACACTGTCTCCCATTAGCACCACCAGCTGAAGAGAGTTTTCTCCCTAACTGTGTTCCCCGTGCCCTGTATGAACTTGTCCATTCCCTTTGTGTAATTATTCTGTTGAAGGCCGAAACGTTCATCTTTTAACCTTGCTTAAATAAAACAAATACTTGTTAATGGGGAGCGAGTGTTGCGTCTTTTCCTTTTCAAATAATATAAAATATCCACGAAATATCACAGTTTGGGCTGTCCCCGACCAAACAAAAATCAAGAGTCATCTGTTCTTTTGACCAATCGATTGGTCGATATTTTAAAATGTGTATTTTTCCTATGTGTTTTAATCCAATCAACCATATGCACTGAGCTTGTCTGATAGTTTAAGCACACTGTTTGATGAAATAATCAATTGATTTGATTGTGCTGGGCCAGCTCAGACTTGCTGCACTGTGTAAAAAAAAAAAAGACATCAAGTGACTGTGTGACTAGCACCCGTTGTCTCTCTCTCTCTCTCCTCCCTGCTGCAACGACCACCACAGAACAACAGTTTATCACGCTGTCGGTGTTGCTGAAGCTGCAACATAATTACAGCCATTTCTGACTGAAAAGTTCTGTTACCGAAATTCCTCATTTGTTTAGGAAAAACATTCCTTATTCCCTCAAACCTTACTCTCTTTGTGTGACACACATTTTTGTTAAGCCTTTATATTACAGCAAATACTAAAAACAGTCGCATTCATTCATGAATGCAATTTCCGAAATGGAACGGTTTATTTATTGTTTACGCTAATTATTCAAGGGTCGCTTTGTTATATTATTTTAAAACAAAAATGCTTGATGGCATTTCAAATCATGAATGACTCGTATGCTGTGTGATGACATGAACAAATAAATGATTGATTGATACAGTAGCCTATATAAGTATTGAAATATAGGCCTAAGTATGTTATGGTATTAAGACTAAACAGAACGCGCTCGTAGGCCTACAGCTCGATGGTGGTTATACAAGGCTACTATACAAAGCCTACTAATGATAACGACAATACTTATTATTATAATGATGAGTATAATAGTAATAACAATAAGAAGGAGACCAAGAAAAAGGAGAGTTATTATTATTATAAATATTATTTTGGGGACAATTTGGAACAGTGTAAACACTAAATGAATGATAAATAATACCAGAGAGGCTGTTCTAACGGAAAAAAAAGTGTGAAGCCTTTATTACAGCACAGCAAATATTAAAAACAGCAGGATTTGGGAAATTGTTTATTCAAGATGTTGTGTTGTGATTGCGTGAGGCTTGGTGCTCACGGAATCAGTAGGCTATTAAATAAACACTCAAACAGGCAACAGAAGCAGGATCTGTCTTATTTCTGTAGATATATATGGTTGATTTCTAAAACCAGGAATATTTAACAGTTAGGCTATTGATTATAGACCTAATTAAGTTGGGGTTTCCTCTCCTCACTTTTCTTAGACAATAAGGCGAGGGCTGTTTTCTCATCTCCCCATTCTGCTGCTGCCTCCGCCGCATTGTTCTCAACACCAATATACTGGTTAACTATTATGCACATCGCAACACAGTCTATGAAAAGGCACCAATTCAACAGCGCTCTGGTGTTTCAGAACCGCGGACAGCGACCACTATCCAGCACGGGAGAAAGCACAGTTGTTATAAAATAATATTATTTGTATTAGTGTTCCACCATTGTTCTTATGTAATATAACCATATACAATTTCAGTAGCACGTCTTAGAGTGACGGACTGTGCCATCCCCAAGGCCTCCACATGGATTATTCGACTAAGACAGGCGCGAATCAGACAGGTGTCTTGTACATCACAAAAATAAATAGATATTTGCTACTACTTGACTAAAGAAATCTTGGTCTATCAACAGCCTATCGACCAAACAATCGTCCAGTCGACTAAATGGGGTCAGCCCTAATCACAGCTGATTTTTTTTCAGCGGAACGGCTTTGAAGTTCAGGGGAGAGGTGAGATGACAAATAAAGCAAGTCAAGATTATTTGTTTTTAACCGCGGCATGGATTCAAAGGCGTCGAGAATGGCTCTGGTATAAAGTGAACATTTGGCTGTGAACTCGCCCTGATGTTATCTGATGAGGGAACAGGGGCAGGAGGCATATCTGTGGTGGATTTGGATAAATATTAATTTTTCCTTTTTTTTGTAGACGGTAGTTTTCCAAAGGGCTCTCGCCCTATCGCGGCACAGGTAATGCCTTTTATGGTGTTGCCTAGACTCAAAGCGTTCTTTTGGAAAGCCAAAAGCTCCAAGGGTAGTAGGGCACAAATAAATAGGGCGACCATTTCTGATTGAATGTTTTGAGAACACAAAGGCAATTTCAATTTCTATCAGTGTCATTCCATAAATATATTGCATTGGATGCCTCTGTGAGGTTGTAACACTCTTTTCTAAGTTGAGTTGGAGAGATTGAAGTTTACAATGAGATGGTCACATTGAACCTGTTGCCATACATACATAATGTGTCATTTCTCGTCCCTAAGAGACATTTTTATCTCTTTAACCCTCCTCCAACCTGCTCATGCACCATCAAAGGACTTTCCTTCACCCTGGGCCCCACTCTGCACCCCAGAACCCAACTCCTTCATGGATTCTCCTCCACCATTGGCACCATTCTCCACCCAAGAATATTGCTCCTCCAACCTGGGCCACTTTATTCACTCCTCCTCCACCCTGGGCCCCACGCTCCACACAATAACACTCCTCCACCCTGGGACTGCTCAGAATCTCCCTACACCACCCTGGAACCCTCCTCCACTCCAGAACTCTCCTCCACCGTGGTCCCACTCTCCAAACCAGAGAGCCCCATCTTCCAAAAAAGTCTCACCTTGAGGATGAGTGGGGAGCTGGGCTTGAGCTCCAGCAGGCCCGTGGGGCTGAGAGGCTCGATCACAGGGTCTGGGTAGAAGCTGAACGTCTCGTTGACCACAAGCGTTGTGCGCACGTCGTCCATGACGAAGCCGATCTCGTCGGGACCACTGCCTGTCTCTGAGAAGACCTTCTCAGAGAAGGCCAGAGAGGGCGCAAGACACATCATAACAGTGTTGTTGAGCACTGTGCAGTTCTGAAGAGAGAGGATGTTGGATACATATATTAACTATGCACATGTACAGTACACTGACATGTAGCCAGAAGTGTATACACTCAGTGCACAAAACATTAGGAACACCTTCCTAATATTGAGATTAACCCGCTTTTCCCCTCAGAACAGCCTCAATTTGTCGGGGCATGGACTCTACAAGGTGTTGAACGTTCCACAGGGATGCTGGCCCATGTTGACTCCAATGCTTCCCACAGTTGTGTTAAGATGGCTGGATGTCCTTTGGGTGGAGGACCATTCTGATACACACAGGAAACTGTTGAGTGTGAAAAACGCAGTAGCGTTGCAGTTCTTGACACACTCAAACCGGTGCGCCTGGCACCTACTGCCATACCCTGTTCAAAAGCACTTAAATATTTTGTCTTGCCCATTCACCCTCTGAACGGCACACATACACAATCCATGTCTCAATTGTCTCAAGGCTTAAAAATCCTTAGTTAACCTGTCTCCTCTCCATGATTGGTGGATTTAACAGGTGACTGGATTCACCTGGTCAGTCTATTTCATGGAAAGAGCAGGTGTTCCTAATGTTTTGTACACTCAGTGTATAGCTTCCATAATGTAAACAAAACGTAAACAAAAAACATACAATAAAAAACATACAATAAAAATTGCTGAAAGGGGCAAAGAGAGATAGGAGGGTGGATAAGTTCAATATGTACACTACACTGACATGTAATACAAAGTGATAACTTCCATAATGTAACCAAACCGTCCGAGCTGAGAGAGAACGGTGGATAGGTTAATTTTGGACACTGAATAAAATGGAAACAACGAACAGAAAACCAAAATTGCTGAGTTACATCAATGGTGATACCATCTCCTACAGTTTGCCCCTGTGGGCTAAACATTCCCCTCTCCATCAACGCAGACGAAGACAACATGAGACAGCAAGCACATATAAAGACAAGACAACATGAGACAGCAAGGACATATAAAGACACGACAACATGAGACAGTAAGGACATATAAAGACAACATGAGACAGTAAGGACATATAAAGACAAGACAACATGAGACAGTAAGGACATATAAAGACAAGACAACATGAGACAGCAAGGACATATAAAGACAATACAACATGAGACAGTAAGGACATATAAAGACACGACAACATGAGACAGCAAGGACATATAAAGACAAGACAACATGAGACAGTAAGGACATATAAAGACAAGACAACATGAGAAAGTAAGGACATATAAAGACAACATGAGACAGTAAGGACATATAAAGATAACATGAGACAGTAAGGAGACATAAAGACAAGACAACTGAGACATTAAGGACATATAAGAAACAACAACATGAGACATAAGGACATATAAAGACAACATGAGACAGTAAGGACATATAAAGAACAGACAACATGAGACAGTAAGGACATAAAAGACAAACATGAGACAGTAGGACATATAAACAAGACAACATGAGACAGTAAGGACATATAAAACAAGACAACATGAGACAGGACAGTTATAAACAAACACAGGACAACATAGACAATGTAGGAGACATATAACAACAACATGAGACAGTAAGGACATAAAAACAAGTCACATAGACAGTAGGACATATAAAGACAAGACAACATGAGACACGTTAAGGACATAACAAAGGACAATAAAGACCATGAGACAGTAAGGACATATAAAGACAAACAACGTCTCTCTTATGTAGGACAATAAAGACAAGACAAATGAAACAGTAAGGACATATAAAGACAACATCGGCATGACAGTAAAGGACTACATGTAAGGCATTCAAAAGTTCTACAAAGACTTCCACCGCTTTATTAGGACTAAAGACACGACAACATGAAACAGTTGGTCATATAAAAACATGAGCAGGACAACGCATATTTCAGACCAATATTGATTACAGCATTATTCCAAAAAACATAAACATTTTCCTCATCAATCTACACACAATACCCCATAATGACAAAGCGAAAAAATGTTTTTTAGAAATGTTTACTAATTTATTAAAATAAAAACGAAAATCCTTATTTACATAAGTATTCATGACCATTTTGCTAATTAGACTCGAAAATTGAAGCTCAGATGCATCCTGTTTCCATTGATCATCCCTTGAGATGTTTCTTACAACTTGATTGGAGTCCCACCTGTGGTCCATGTTAATTGATTGGGAACATTGATTTGCAAAGGCACACACCTGTCTATATAAGGTCCCACAGTTGACAGTGCATGTCAGAGCAAAAACAAAGCAATGAGGTTGAAGGAATTGTCCGTAGAGCTCAGACAGGATTGTGTTGAAGCACAGATCTGGGGAAGGGTACCCAAGAAGATAGTGGCCTCCATCATTCTTAAATGGAAGACGTTTGGAACCACCAAAACTCTTCTAAGAGCTGGCCGCATGGCCAAACTGAGCAATCGGGGGAGAAGGGCAATGGTCAGGGAGGTGACCAAGAAGCCGATAGTCACTCTGACAGAGCTCCAGAGTTCCTCTGTGGAGATGGTTGTCCTTCTGGAAGGTTCTCCCATCTCTGCAGCACTCCACCAATCATGCCTTTATGGTAGAGTGGCCAGACGGAAGCCACTCCTCAGTAAAAGGCACATGACAGCCCGCTTGGAGTTTGCCAAAATTCTCTGGTCTGATGAAACCAAGACTGAACTCTTTGGCCTGAATGGCAAGCGTCACGTCTGGAGGAAACCTGGCACCATCCCTACGGTGAAGCATGGTGGTGGCAGCATCATGCTGTGGGGATGTTTTTCAGCGGCAGGGACTGTGAGACTAGGCAGGATCGAGGGAAAGATGAACGCAGCAAAGTACAGAGAGATCCTTGATGAAAACCTGCTCCAGAGCGCTCAGGACCTCAGACTGGGTCGAAGGTTTACCTTCCAACAGGACAACAACCCTAAGCACACAGCCAAGACAACGCAGGAGTGGCTTCGGGACAAGTCTTTGAATGTCCTTGAGTGGCCCAGGCAGAGCCGGGACTTGAACCCGATCCAACATCTCTGGAGAGACCTGGAAATAGATATGCAGCGACGCTCCCAATCCAACCTGACAGAGCTTGAGAGGATCTACAGGGAAGAAAGGGAGAAACTCCCTAAATACATGTATGCCAAGCTTGTAGCGTTATACCCAAGTAGATTTGAAGCTGTAATGACTGCCAAAGGTGCTTCAACAAAGTACTGAGTAAAGGGTCTGAATACTTATGTAAATGTAATATTTATATATGGGGTATTGTGTGTAGATTGATGAGGGGAAAAAACAATTTTATCAATTTTAGAATAAGGCTGTAACGTAACCAAATGTGGACAAAGTCCACATTTTACTTTCCGAATGCACTGTATAAAGACACACGGTTAGCGAGACTGACGCTAACACACAATGCTAAAAGCACGCTATGGAAATGGTTGGGTTCTCTCTAGACTCTCTGCTTTTCCACAACATGCCTTCCAACCTCCCCTCTGGCATGCTAAGTAATCACGGCACATTAGCTAGCGTATGCTAACGGGGTCTGAAATCGCACGGGGGAGACACAGAAGCATTATTGAAAAGGGGAGCCGGATAAAAATTGTGATATGGGAGAAGGACAAAGCAGGAAAATAACCTTTGTTTTGGTTGGGATGTTATCTTCAGGTAGAGAGAGAGAAGGGGAATGGGGGAGGGGACACTAAAAGAGAAAAGGTTAGCCTAGCCCTGTGGTGCTAGGTGAAGGAGGGATTGCCAGACAGACTGGGTTAATTGCTGGTTGACATTTCAAAAGGTTAACATGCGAAAAGGAGATTTAACTTCTACTGAACAAAATATAAAAGTAACATGCAACAAGTTCTATGTTTTTACTGAGTTACAGTTGAGGAAATCAGACAATTGAAATACACTCTTTAGGCCCTAATCTACAGTGAGGGAAAAAAGTATTTGTTCCCCTGCAGATTTTGTACGTTTGCACACTGACAAAGAAATGATCAGTCTATAATTGTAATGGTATGTTTATTTGAACAGTGAGAGACAGAATAACAACAAAAAAATCCAGAAAAACGCATGTAAAAAATGTTATAAATTTATTTGCATTTTAATGAGGGAAATAAGTATTTGACCCCCTCTCAATCAGAAATATTTCTGGCTCCCAGGTGTCTTTTATACAGGTAACGAGCTGAGATTAGGAGCACACTCTTAAAGGGAGTGCTCCTAATCTCAGCTTGTTAACTGTATAAAAGAAACCTGTCCACAGAAGCAATCAATCAATCAGATTCCAAACTCTCCACCATGGCCAAGACCAAAGAGCTCTCCAAGGATTGATGGAGTTGCAATGATCATGAGAACGGTGAGGAATCAGCCCAGAACTACACGGGAGGATCTTGTCAATGATGTCAAGGCAGCTGGGACCATAGTCACCAAGAAAACAATTGGTAACACACTACGCCGTGAAGGACTGAAATCCTGCAGCGCCCGCAAGGTCCCCCTTGAGACCAAAATCGAGCTCTTTGGCATCAACTCAACTCGCCGTGTTTGGAGGAGGAGGAATGCTGCCTATGACCCCAAGAACACCATCCCCACTGTCAAACATGGAGGTGGAAACATTATGCTTTGGGGGTGTTTTTCTGCTAAGGGGACAGGACAATTTCACCGCATCAAAGGGACGATGGACGGGGCCATGTACCGTCAAATCTTGGGTGAGAACCTCCTTCCCTCAGCCAGGGCATTGACAATGGGTCATGGATGGGTTTTCCAGCATGACTATGACCCAAAACACACGGCCAAGGCAACAAAGGAGTGGCTCAAGAAGAAGCACATTAAGGTTCTGGAGTGGCCTAGCCAGTCTCCAGACCTTAATCCCATAGAAAATCTGTGGAGGGAGCTGAAGGTTTGAGTTGCCAAACGTCAGCCTCGAAACCTTAATGACTTGGAGAAGATCTGCAAAGAGGAGTGGAACAAAATCCCTCCTGAGATGTGTGCAAACCTGGTGGCCAACTACAAGAAACGTCTGACCTCTGTGATTGCCAACAAGGGTTTTGCCACCAAGTACTAAGTCATGTTTTGCAGAGGGGTCAAATACTTATTTCCCTCATTAAAATGCAAATCAATTCATAACTTTTTTTTACATGCGTTTTTCTGGATTTCTTTGTTGTTATTCTGTCTCTCACTGTTCAAATAAACCTACCATTAAAATTATAGACTGATCATGTCTTTGTCAGTGGGCAAACATAAAAAATGAGCAGGGGATCAAATACTTTTTTCCCTCACTGTATGGATTAGTTGGTCATAGATACATCAGAAAACCAGTTAGTATCTGGTGTGACCACCATTTGCCTCATGCAGCACACCACATCTCCTTCACATAGAGTTGATTAGGCTGTTGATTGTGGCCTGTGGAATGTTGTCCCACTCCTCTTCAATGGCTGTGCAAAGTTGCTGGATATTGGCGGGAACTGGAACTTGCTGTCGTACACGTTAATCCAGAGCATCCTAAACATGCTCAATGGGTGACATGTCTGGTGAGAATGCAGGCCATGGAAGAACTGGGATATTTTCAGCTTCCAGGATTTGTGTACATGGGGCCGTGCATTATCATGCTAAAACATGAGGTGATGGCGGCGGCTGAATGGCACGACAATGAGCCTCAGGATCTCGTCACGGTCTCTCTGTGCATTCAAATTGCCATCGATAATATGCAATTGTGTTCGTTGTCTGTAGCTTATGCCTGCCCATACCATTACCCCACAGCCACCGAGGGGCACTCTGTTCACAACATTGACATCAGCAAGGCCAGATGGACGTACTGTCAAATTCTCTAAAACGACATTGGAGGCAGCTTATGTTAGAGAAATGAACATTCAATTCTCTGGCAACAGCTCTGGTGGACATTCCTGCAGTCAGCATGCCAATTGCACGCTCCCTCAAAACTTGAGACATCTGTGGCATTGTGTTGTGTGACAAAACTGCACATTTTACTGTCCCCAGCACAAAGTGCACCTGTGTAATGACCATGCTGTTTAATCAGCTTCTTGATATGCCACACTTGTCAGGTGGATGGATTATCTTGGCAAAGGAGAAATGCTCACTAACAGGGATGTAAACAAATTTGTGCACAACATTTGAGAGACATTTTATTTCAGCTCATGAAACATGGGTCCAAAACACTTTACATGCTGCGTTTATATTTTTGTTCAGTGTAAAAAAACAACATGTACAGACACCCATAAATAGGCCCAGGGCCGGGTGACCACTGGGTCAGGTGTGTGTATGGTCAGTAGTACTCACGTTGACAGATTGTGCTTTCCCATACTTGGCTCTCATCTTGGGCTCCTTGATGGTAGCCAGGTTGGTGCCGGTGATGGTCAACATGGTTCCGCCACTGCAGAAGAAGAAACAGTCAACAACAACACTCATAACAGCACATCCACCCTCAAACACTACAATAACAAAGCCATAATCCTATTCCCTGCAAGATCGTATCAAAACATTCAACAAGGGCACTTCACTGTGATTCCTGTCTTTTATACGATTACAGAAGGCACAGTGTGCGTCCCAAATGGGCCCATAGGGCTCTGGTCAAAAGTAGTGCACTATATAGGGCAGTGCTTCTTAAACCTCTCCTTGGAGAGACCCAAACATTTAACAATTTTGTTGTAGCCCTGAACTAGCTCACCTGATTCAATTAGTCAAGTGCTTGATGGTTAGTTGACAAGTTGAATCAGTTGTGCTAGCTCTGGAAAATACCAAATACATGGAACAGCTGGGAGTCCCTGAGGAGCGGTTTGAGAACCACTGATGTAGGGAATAGGGTGTCATTTTTAACGAATCCCATATATTCCAGAGAACCAAGCATTGCCGAATACATTTAATTTTAGTCCAAGTGAAAAAGACCCTGCAGCTATGGCATTAATGTTAATGCCCACTCTCACTGTAGAGTATTTGATCTGTTTTACGCACTCTATCACAGATAATGATGGTAACACTAAGGCTCTTACATGCATATTAAAAGCTTGTTTAAACTCTAATAGAGCTTCGGGGAAGGGACCAAAATACTACATTATTATCTCAATGAACACCTCCAATATCTAAAACCCAAAATTATATTCTCCATCTCAGGTACTTGGAGATGTACTGGATGTGCAGGCTTTTGTTCCAGCCCAGCACTAACACATCTGATTACATTTATCGTGGTCCAGATGATTAGTTGGTGATTTGAAACAGGTATGTTACTGCTGGGCTGGAACAAAAGCTTGCACATCCAGACTCTGGCATTGCTGCTTTCTGACCTTTTCACCCTTTGACCTTTTCAATTCGCCCGACAATGACCAACAGGGACAGGGGTAACATAAGCAAGATTCACGTCCCCCCCAGACACCTCATAGCCACGGGGTGCTGAACTTTCCAAACCACACTGACGTAACGCAATGTGGCAGACCTGAATTGGTTAGCATGCAAGCTAACTTGTCTTAGGCCAAACTGCTCGACTGGTTAGCCTGCAGGCTAACTTGTCTTAAGGTTACTACAAGCTTCACTCTGTTGATCTACGCGCATGCACGTGGATGGAGTGGGATTTCTTGAGTAGCGGACACCTTTTGGTAACATGATATCCTCGCCGCTCCCACTCCCATTCACAAGGGGGCGATAGAACATTTTTTTTTTTTGTCTTTTCATTTTGTGAAAGCCAGGAAGAATCGCCTTCCCTTCCTAGTAGTAGCTAGCTGGCAGCCTGGCTAGCTGGCTTTAGACTGGCTAAAAACATAGCACTCTAGCTAGCCTTTTCAGCTTCCCACATCTTCATGTGAAATAGTCTTATACTTGCCAGTGTAACCTAAAACATTATCCCAGTTCGAATACACAAGCAGCATATTATTCTCATATCAGCTAAAACTAGAATGTCATGTTTTGATCACGGAGAAAAAAGCACATGGCTAGCTAGTTGGCTACAGCAGGTTCTACTATTCCACAATAGCCTGTAATCACTAGTTATTACTTAAAATACCCTTTTGGGTGGATTCCTCTTGTTTGGTTTACTGTTTGAACAGTCACTGAGATTATATTTGGTTATCAATGCAAAACAGGCTACTTTGATGAATAGCCTATATAGCCCCCACCACATTTTCAGGTTGTAAAAAAGTATGTTGAATGACAGAGCGTATTACAAGGAGCAGCCCCTTTTGTGTTGAAAAAAGACATTGCAACACTTAGAATATTGCGTCTGCATAGAGATTTTAGTGAGCTTTAGGCCCACCTGCTTGTCTGTGTAGAGCAGGGATGGGAAACTTTGATGAGGGTGGGGGCCACAAAAAATCGGAACATCATGAGGGGCCGCAGCTGCTCGCGGTTCTACGTACCCACATCCATCCCCCCCTACACACACAGCGAGCAAAACATCTTAGTGGCCCCCCTCTTGACAGCGGAGATAATATTTTGCTTAGAGTTGATAACAAGTTTAGATAGCTGGCCGCTAAACTAATTTAGCAATCCAAAAATGTTTTGCTGACATGGGCTAATTGACTGACTATCAGTGACTGACATAACAAGAGTTGGTGTAGATGTAAAGACACTAAATCAAAGACTTGTTCCAGACAAAGGGTTCGCCACAACAGCTCTCAAAAGGAGTCAAAGAGGTAAGAGTGTGTGGTGAGAGTGGCTCAATAGTAGGTGTTGACTACTATTGATTCCAAACTGTACCGATTCCAGGTAACATTGTGATAATGTTGTGAGAACATCAAGGCATCTCTCCAACCCATTCCTATGTGCCATCTCTGCTGTGCTGTTTTGTCACTGTGATGTTAGCGCAGGGTGAACACCAGTGTCTCAGCAGAAGCTGGAAAGTAACAAGTGTGAGTCGTGTCACCGACGGTATGTAGTGGACGTATGTTGTCGTAACCACTGTTATTGTTTGTAGCGGACGCCATCGGAGCGGACGCGGTGACAAAATTGCTTTGCGCCGTAAACACAAGCCTTGATTGGCCAAGAGGAGGAACAGCCAATCCTCTGGGAGCGGTGAGACAAACGGCAAACGAGAAAGCCAGCGAGGTCACTTCCCCTCCTGAGGATAATGCTAACACCTCTTTTCCCTTCAATTTTTTTCTTTGTCTTCTCTACTTCACATCTCTGTTACAAATGAGATCGCTTGCCTCCTCGCACGTCTCATCGGTCGAGTCTGTCGATCGTCTCTCTGCCCCTACGGAGATTAAAACGCCACTCCCATTTACACCTCTACTACCCACCGTGATGTCTCTGTGGTGGTTTGTCCAGTTCCCCCTAGCGACTGACTGCCATTTTGTGTCTAGTGGCTTCAGATCTGTTTGGACGCCCTTGAGACGCAGCTGCCAAATCATCAGGAAGCACTTGGAAATACTTTGTGCTTACGTACTCCAGGGTAGCATTTTAGTTTTTTACCAAGTGTTTGCTGCTTTTTTCTCCCACCAACCCTATTCAAAGAGCACTGCCTACCGTGTCTCCGAGCTACACAGCCTATTCAGTGCTGGGATTACGTTTCTCCTAGGTACAGATCTAGGATCAGTTTCCCCTCCCTCAAACCTAACCTTAACCAAAACTGACCCAGGATCAGCATCTAGGGTCAACTTCACCTTGTGAGTACTCCAGCACATTGTTTCCTCACCTGGATCCACTCTCCATTGAACTTGCTTTTCAATCTACAATCTCTATGGGTCCCTATAGGCAACTATAAATACATATTAAAGGGGCACTTCATCACTTTTTAAACTCAAATCCATTATGTCCAGCAGCACCATACATGTAGTCAAAAAGATTCGTTTTCAGTTGAAAAGTGTTGAAGTGTCCCTTTAATACCTATTATGTATTTATAATGCATTACAAGACAGGTGGCCCATAGAAAGTGTTCCAGAAAGATATAACTTCTGTAAAATACATTGTGTCTGTAACATTTACATAGTATGTATAAGTTGGAAGTAGAAGCCTAAGTGTTGTTGTCCATTACTTTACTCTAATTAGGAGAGGGGTTGTAGGGTTAGGGGAAAATAAGAAGGGAAAATATACTTTAAAAAGATATGTATACAGTTGAAGTCGGCGGTTTACATACACCTTAGCCAAATACATTTAAACTCTGTTTTTCACAATTCCTGACATTTAATCCTAGTAAAAATTCCCTGTCTTAGGTCAGTTAGGATCACCATTTTATTTTAAGAATGTCAAATGTCCGAATAATAGTAGAGAGAATGATTTATTTCAGCTTTTATTAATTTCATCACATTCCCAGTGGGTCAGAAGTTTACATACACTCAATTAGTATTTGGTAGCATGACCTTTAAATTGTTTAACTTGGGTCAAACGTTTCGGGTAGCCTTCCACAAGCTTCCCACAATAAGTTGGGTGAATTTTGGCCCATTCCTCCTGACAGAGCTGGTGTAACTGAGTCAGGTTTGTAGGCCTCCTTGCTTGCACACGCTTTTTCAGTTCTGCCCACACATTTTCTATAGGATTGAGGTCAGGGCTTTGTGATGGCCACTTTTTGCCACAACTTTGGAAGTATGCTTGGGGTCATTGTCCATTTGGAAGACCCATTTGTGACCAAGCTTTAACTTCCTGACTGATGTCTTGAGATGTTGCTTCAATATATCCACATAATTTTCCTTCCTCATGATGCCATCTATTTTGTGAAGTGCACCAGTCCCTCCTGCAGCAAAGCACCCCCACAGCATGATGCTGCCACCCCCGTGCTTCACGGTTGGGATGGTGTTCTTCGGCTTGCAAGCCACCCTCTTTTTCATCCAAACATAACGATGGTCATTCTAGCAAAATACAGTTCTATTTTGTTTCATCAGACCAGAGGACATTTCGCCAAAAAGCACGATCTTGTCCCCATGTGCAGTTGCAAACCGTAGTCTGGCTTTTTTAAGGCGGTTTTGGAGCAGTGGCTTCTTCCTTGCCGAGCAGCCTTTCAGGTTATGTTGATATAGGACTCGTTTTACTGTGGATATAGATACTTTTGTACCTGTGTCCTCCAGCATCTTCACAAGGTCCTTTGCTGTTCTTCTGGGATTGATTTGCACTTTTCGCACCAAAGTACGTTCATCTCTAGGAGACATAACACGTCTCCTTCCTGAGCGGTATGACGGCTGTGTGGTCCCATGGTGATTATACTTCCGTACTATTGTTTGTACAGATGAACATAGTACCTTCAGGCGTTTGGAAATTGCTCCCAAGGATGAACCAGACTTGTGGAGGTCTACCATTTTTTTTCTGAGGTCTTGGCTGATTTCTTTTGATTTTCCCATGATGTCAAGCAAAGAGGCACTGAGTTTGAAGGTAGGCCTTGAAATACATCCACAGGTACACCTGCAATTGACTCAAATGATGTCAATTATCTTATCAGAAGCTTCTAAAGCCATGACATCATTTTCTGGAATTTTCCAAGCTGTTTAAAGGCACAGTCAACTTAGTGTATTTAAACTTCTGACCCACTGGAATTGTGATACATTAAATTATAAGTGAAATAATCTGTCTGTAAACAATTGTTGGAAAATTACTTGTGTCATGCACAAATTAGATGTCCTAACCGACTTGCCAAATCTATAGTTTGTTAACAAGAAATTTGTGGAGTGGTTGAAAAAACGACTTTTAATGATTTTTGGTTTCAACCGCCGTGTGTTTGTGAGACGCGGTGTGGGTGAACGGATTATCTCCGCATGTGTATTTCCCACCGTAAAGTATTAAGGAGGAGGTGTGGAGGTGCTTTGCTGGTGACACTTTCTGTGATTTATTTAGAATTCAAGGCACACTTAAGCAGCATGGCTACCACAGCATTCTGCAGCGATACACCATCCCATCTGGTTTGGGACTATCATTTGTTTTTCAACAGGACAATGACCCAACACACCTCCAGGCTGTTTAAGGGCTATTTTACCAAGAAGGAGAGTGATGGAGTGCTGCATCAGATGTCCTCCACAATCCCCCGACCTAAACCAAATTGAGATGGTTTGGGATGAGTCGGACCGCAGTGTGAAGGAAAAGCAGCCAACAAGTGCTCAGCATATGTGGGAACTCCTTCAAGACTCTTGGAAAAGCATTCCAGGTGAAGCTGGTTGAGAGAATGCCAAGAGTGTGCAAAGCTGTCATCAAGGCAAAGGGTGGCTATTTGAAGAATCTCAAATATAAAATATATTTAGATTTGTTTAACACTTTATTGGTTACTACATGATTCCATATGTGTTATTTCATAGTTTTGATTTCTTCACTATTAGTCTACAATGTAGAAAATAGTACAAATAAAGAAAAAACCTTGAATGAATAGGTGTTCTTAAACCTTTGACCAGTAGTGTATAAAAACATTAAAAAATATATTAAAAAAATAGCACTTCAGTCAATTAGACAGTGTGACTTGACAGAAGCCACATTACTATTTCAGGGAACATCAAGAGTGTTATCTGCCTGCCTGGTAGCTACTGGTTTACATTCAGATAGAATTGAGAAATGAACGCAACTCAGTTTTTCTAGATCATTCTATCGAGCCCATTTTGCATCGGAATCCACTTCCTGCTCTGTACACAGCTTGTGTTTGTTCATAAATATTCCTGCAGCAAACTGTGTCGCCACGCTGTCTCATTTGAATAAGTCAGAGAGTATTTATACTGTCTTTGCATCGACTGCAATACAAACTACGGGCATCTTCAGAGTCCCCTTTTTCAGCAAAGATTTGCTATTGTATCAGTTTTCAGGGTGGAAAAAATAGTGGTAACAAATTCAAGTATACCTGTGAGTTTTGCCATCTCTCCATACAGTGTATCATAAAGTGCACCTACAGCATACTTGACTGAGTACTAAGGCTAATACTCACACCCAAATCGACCCTTACTCCCTATGTACTGAGATCTGAGATGACTGGATAGGCCTAAGCAATATAGTTGAAAGAGGGAGCTAGTACCACATTACTTTTGCCTAACACCTGTCCATTCCTTTCAGATCTCTACATAGAATTAAAACACAAATTAAACTGTTTTGTCCAACAAAAGATCTAAAGCAATCTGTTAAGACCAGTTAAGACCATAAGCCCAGTACCACCCAGTTTAAGACCCTCACCTAGCGATGCTCCATTCAGGTTCAATCTTGAGGATGGTGGGGTCATCGGTGTAGATGAATTTGACCTCTGGGTTCCTGAGCTCAGCTGAGTTGATGTCCACCATGACGGGGGTACCTCCAGGACTCTGACCCTCCGGGGTCACACACACCATCTCCCTGGCACTCCGCCTGGAAGGGAAGAGGGAGTGTGTAACATGAAGGAAAAGCCATGTCACACATACACAGAAGCGCTCTAACTGAGATGAGGGCCACACGAGGCAAACAGAGACAAAAAAATAACATCACACATAACCTCTCTGCTCTGTAAAGAACTTCAACAACGCTAAACATGACACACACCCACCCACCCACACAATAACTCTAAGGGCGTTTTCACGCATAGTTTTGAGCTATAGTTCGAATCAGAGTTCGGTTATTTGTTACATTGTATTTTCTAAATTTTTCCTGGTTACTAAAATGCCTAAACAAAACCACATGTTGATGAAAGTCATTGGTTTATTGGAAAAAAATGCTAACGTTACATCCATCTATGATTATCAAAAAGCATAACTTGTGTGTCCCAAATGTCATATTACTTTCGCTTTGGTCTTCCAACAACATGTGGGAGAAAACAGCGCAATAGCCGCTAACTGTGACGTGAATAGCCTTTATTCAGTGGACTATGTCCCTGGAACAGCCCCAGTCTCCCCAAATCTGCATTGGATGCGCTCATAAATGCGCTGCTACTCAAATAATGTTTCAGAGATATGAAGTTATGGTACTGCGTGCATTTCATAAAATGCTCTCAGTCAAACAACCACTAATACTGCGCGCCTGTGTTTGGTCTGCATTCTCACCTGCAGCGAACCACACCATGGTATGAATGAAATCGGACCGAGACCACCCTTTTTGAGCGAACCACGGTGCGCTGTTTAGTGCGCTCCCGAGGGCTGATAGTGTTCGAGTTCAGAAAAAAACGCTCCAAACCAATTTGGTGTCAAAGACCCGTAAGAGTGCCAAGAGCTGCAGTGCTTTCAGTCCAACATGCAGCGGTTTCATCAGACAGACTATCGCAGAGCTCAGGCTTCAAAGATCTGCTCTCTCTCTCTCCCTGACTGATCAGGAGCGGCAGCAGTCTGTTTCTGGAGACTGATCTGAAGTGGCAGCAGTCTCTCTCTCCCTGACTGATCTGAAGTGGCAGCAGTCTCTCTCTCCCTGGGGGCCATAGTCACCAAGAAAACAATTGGTAAACACACTACGCCGTGAAGGACTGAAATCCTGCAGCACCCTCAAGGTCCCCCTGCTCAAGAAAGCACATATACATGCCCGTCTGAAGTTTGCCAATGAACATCTGAATGATTCAGAGGAGAACTGGGTGAAAGTGTTGTGGTCAGATGAGACCAAAATGGAGCTCTTTGGCATCAACTCAACTCGCCGTGTTTGGAGGAGGAGGAATGCTGCCTATGACCCCAAGAACACCATCCCCACCGTCAAACATGGAGGTGGAAACATTATGCTTTGGGGGTGTTTTTCTGCTAAGGGGACAGGAAAACTTTACCGCATCAAAGGGATGATGGACAGGGCCATGTACCGTCAAATCTTGGGTGAGAACCTCCTTCCCTCAGCCAGGGCATTGAAAAAGGGTTGTGGATGGGTATTCCAGCATGACAATGACCCAAAACACACGGCCAAGGCAACAAAGGAGTAGCTCAAGAAGAAGCGCATTAAGGTCCTGGAGTGGCCTAGCCAGTCTCCAGACCTTAATCCCATAGAAAATCTGTGGAGGGAGCTGAAGGTTTGAGTTGTCCAAACGTCAGGCTCGAAACCTTAATGACTTGGAGAAGATCTGCAAAGAGGAGTGGGATAAAATTCCTCCTGAGATGTGTGCAAACCTGGTGGCCAACTACAAGAAACGTCTGACCTCTGTGATTGCCAACAAGGGTTTTGCCACCGAGTACTAAATCATGTTTTGCAGAGGGGTCAAATACTTATTTCCCTCATTAAAATGCAAATCAATTTATAAAATGTTTGACATGCGTTTTTCTGGATTTTGTTGTTGTTATTCTGTCTCTCACTGTTCAAATAAACCGACCATTAAAATTATAGACTGATCATTTCTTAGTCAGTGGGCAAACGTACAAAATATTTTCTCCCTCACTGTATATTTTTGGCCTTACAGCTATTAGCCAATACAAACGCATTGAATAACAGATTCACTACATGGAACAACATATAGTCCCCCTAAAAAAATCTAAAGGAAGTTTGTTCTGAAGTGTATTTAACCCATTATTTTTGTCACTAAACAGTCTCCCTAGTGCATTCAGAAAATATTCAGACCTCTTGACTTCTTCCACATTTTGTTATGTTACAGCCTTATTCCAAAATGTATTACAGTGCCTTGCAAAAGTATTCATCCCCCTTGCCGTTTTTTCTATTTTGTTGCATTACAACCTGTAATTTAAATAGATTTTTATTTGGATTTCATGTAATGGACATACACAAAATTCCAAATTGGTGAAGTGAAATGAAAACAATTACTTGAAAATTCAAAAAAATGTATCACGGAAAAGTGGATGCGTGCATATGTATTCATCCCCTTTGCTATGAAGCCCCTAAATAAGATCTGGTGCAACCAATTACCGTCAGAAGTCACATAGTTAGTTAAATAAAGTCCACCTGTGTGCAATCTAAGTGTCATATGATCTGTCACATGATCTCAGTATATATACACCTGTTCTGAAAGGCCCCAGAGTCGGCAACACCACTAAGCAAGCGGCACCATGAAGATCAAGGAGCTCTCCAAACAGGTCAGGGACAAAGCTGTGGAGAAGTACAGATCAGGGTTGGGTTATAAAAAAAGATCAGAAACTTTGAACATCCCACGGAGCACCATTAAATCCATTATAAAAAAATTGAAAGAATATGGCACCACAACAAACCAGCCAAGAGAGGGCCGCCCACCAAAACTCACGGACCAGGTAAGGAGGGCTTAATCAGAGAGGCAACAAAGAGACCAAAGATAACCCTGAAGGAGCTGCAAAGCTCCACAGTGGAGATTGGAGTATCTGTCCATAGGACCACTTTAAGACATACACTCCACAGAGCTGGGCTTTACGGAAGTGGCCAGAAAAAAGCCATTGCTTAAAGAAAAAAATAAGCAAACACGTTTGGTGTTTGACAAAAGGCATGTGGGAGACTCCTCAAACATATGGAAGAAGGTACTCTGGTCAGATGATACATTTTGGCCATCAAGGAAAATGTCTGGTGCAAACCCAACACCTCTCATCACCCCGAGAACACCATCCCCACAGTGAAGCATGGTGGTGGCAGCATCATGCTGTGGGGATGTTTTTCCATCGGCAGGGACTGGGAAACTGGTCAGAATTGAAGGAATGATGGATGGCACTAAATACAGGGAATTTGTTGAGGGAAACCTGTTTCAGTCTTCCAGAGATTTGAGATTGTGACGGAGGTTCAGCTTCCAGCAAGACAATGACCCTAAGCATACTGCTAAAGCAACACTCGAGTGGTTTAAAGGGAAACATTTAAATGTCTTGGAATGGCCTAGTCAAAGCCCAGACCTCAATCCAATTGAGAATCTGTGGTATGACTTACAGCGGAACCCATCCGACTTGAAGGAGCTGGAGCAGTTTTGCCTTGAAGAATGGGCAAAAATCCCAGTGGCTAGATGTGCCAAGCTTATAGAGACATACCCCAAGAGACGTGCAGCTGTAATTGCTGCAAAAAGGTGGCTCAAGTTTTTTTTTTTTGGTCTTATTTCTTCTTTGTTTCACCCCCAAAAATATTTTGCATCTTCAAAGTGGTAGGCATGTTGTGTAAATCAAATGATACAAATTTTAATTCCAGGTTGTCAGGCAACAAAATAGGAAAAATGTCAAGGGGGGTGAATACTTTCGCAAGCCACTGTACATAGCCACTGTTCATTTTTTAATCAATATACAAACAATACCCCATAATGACAAAGCAAATACAGGTTTTTAGAAATATTAGCACATTTATAAAAATAATACAAACAGAAATACCTTATTTACATAAGTATTCAGACCCTTTGCTATGAGACTCAAAATTGAGCTCAGGTGCATCATGTTTCCATTGATCATCCTTGAGATGTTTCCACAACTTGATTGGAGTCTGCCTGTGGTATATTAAATTGTTTGGACATGATTTGGAAAGGCACACACCTGTCTATATAAGGTCCAACAGTTGACAGTGTATGTCAGAGCAAAAACCAAGCCATTAAGTCGAAGGAATTTTCCGTAGAGCACTGAGACAGGATTGTGTCGAGGCACAGATCTGGGGAAGGGTACCAAAAAAGTTTTCCAAAAGGCACCTACAGGATTCTCAGACCATGAGAAACAAGATTCTCTGGTCTGATGAAAGCAAGATTGAACTCCTTGGCCTGAATGCCAAGTGTCATGTTTGGAGGAAACCAGGCACCATCCCTGCCGTGAAGCATGGTGGTGGCAGCATCATGCTGTGGGGATGTTTTTCAGCGGCAGGGACTGGGAGTCTAGTCAGGATCGAGGGAAAGATGAACGGAGCAACGTACAGAGAGATCTTTGATGAAAACCTGCTCCAGAGTGCTCAGGACCTCAGACTGGGGTGAAGGTTCACCTTCTAACAGGACAATGACCCTAAGCACACAGCCAAGACAACGCAGGAGTGCTTTGGGACAAGTCTCTGAATATCCTTGAGTGGCACAGCCAGAGGCCGGAATTGAACCTGATCGAACATCTCTGGAGAGACCTGAAAATAGCTGTGCAGTGACGCTCCTAATCCAACCTGACAGAGCTTGAGAGGATCTGCAGAGAAGAATGGGAGACACTCCCCAAATACAGGTGTGCCAAGCTTGTAGCATCAGACCGAAGAGGACTCGAGGGTGTAATCGCTGTCAAAGGTGCTTCAACAAAGTACTGAGTAAAGGGTATGAATACTTATGTAAATGTAATATTTCCATTTGTTATTTTTAATACATTAGCAAAAATGTCTAACAACCTGTTTTTGCTTTGGCATTATAGGGTATAGTGTGAAGATTGCTGAGAAAAACAAGAACTATTTAATCAATTGTAGAATAAGGCTGTAACGTAACAAAATGTGGAAAAGTCAAGGGGGCTGAATTGTTTCCAAATGTACTGTACTTCCATAAAACATTTTCAACTGGTACCGGGGGACCTTCAGACTAGTCATTTTGGCCTGTGAGTGTCGTAGAGCAAAACAACCAACATGTACGTGTTCGTGAGAGTCTCACCTTTCCATTTTTTTAGGGGGTAGATCAGCTTTAAAATTGCAGATAGATTGTAACTTCCATCAATGTAATTGTCTGCATCACTTCCAATCCCCATATGTTTTTTTTTCTCGCAAATATATATATACAGACAGAAGTTGGCAGATCGGCTGTACTGACTTCAGATGAGTCCCAAGACGCTTGTGGGGTTCGTAGAGCAAAACGGACAACACCACCGTGTTTTGGGGATGTCTCATGGTCTGACAAACACTGCTCTAGCTCTGTCACCTTTCCCCACAGTTGCGGAAGTGCGACATAGGCAGATGCGGTGGATCGAGACACATCCAATGCAAAAAACAGATCTCTTAAACTGACAGATTTTTATGGGGATGTTCTTCTTATGTTAATTATATTATGCTAATTAGATATCGACCTTAGGGGGTTAAGGTTAGGGTTAAGGTTAGGAGTTAAGGTTTTGGGGTTAAAGTCTTGCGGTTAGGGAAAATAAAATGTTGAATGGGAATACAAATTCACGTCAAAAAAGCTATGTGTGTGTGTGAGCGCGTGAGTTTTTAATGTGTATATTTGTGAACGGATGCACATGTATGGTGTGCATACATACATTGGTGTGTGCATGTGTGTATTTGTATTTATTAAGGATCCCCATTTATTCCTGCCAAGGCAGCAGCTACTCTTCCTGGGGTCCAGCAACATTAAGGCGGTTATATACAATTTAAAATATTACATGACATTACATTTTATAACACTTTTCACAACACATTAAGTGTGTTCCCTTAGGCCACTACTCTACTACTACATATCTACAATCCAACATCCATGTGTACGTGTGTGTAGAGTGCGTGTTTTATCATGTGTATGTGTAGGCGTGTCTGTGCCTGTGTCTCTTCACAGTCCCAGCTGTTCCATAAGGTGTATTTGTATCTGTTTTTTAAATCTGATTCTACTGCTTGCATCAGTTACCTGATGTGGAATAGAGTTCCATGTAGCCATGGCTCTATGTAGTACTGTGCGCCTCCCATATTATGTTCTTGACTTGGGGATTGTGAAGAGACCTTTGGTGGCACGTCTTGTGGGGTATGCATAGGTGTCCGAGCTGTGTGCTAGTAGTTTAAACAGACACCTTGGTGCATTCAGCATGTCAACACTTCTTTCAAAAACAGGTAGTGATGAAGTCAATCTCTCCTCCGCATTGAGAGATTTACATGCATATTATTTATGTTAGCTCTGTGTTCTGAGCCTGTTCTGAGACAATTGTACTTTTCTGAGGTCCCTCTTTGTGGCACCTGACCACACGACTGAAAAGTAGTCCAGGTTTGACAAAACTAGGGCCTGTAGGACCTGCCTTGTTGATAGTGTTGTTTAAAAGGCGGAGTTGCGTTTTATTATGGACAGACTTCTCCCCATCTAAGCTACTGTTTTATAAACATGTTTTGATCATGACAGTTTACAATCCAGGGTTACTCCAAACATTTTAGTCACCTCAACTTGCTCAATTTCCACATTATTTATTCCAAGATTTAGTTGAGGTTTAGAGTTTAGTGAATGATTTGTCCCAAATACACTGCTTTTAGTTTTTATTTATTTAGTTATTTAGGGCTAACTTATTCCTTGCCACTCATTCTGAAACTAACTGCTGCTCTTTGTTAAGTGTTACAGTGATTTCACTTGCTGTTTTAGCTGACATGAATAGCGTTGAGTCATATGCATACATAGACACACTGGCTTTACTCAAAGCCAGTGGCATGTCAAGATTGAAAAAAGTAAGGGGCCTAGACAGCTGCCCTGGGGAATTCCTGTTTCTACCTGGATTATGTTGGAAAGGCTTCCTTTAAAGAACACCCTCTGTGTTCTGTTAGACATGTAACTCTGTATCCACAATATAGCAGGTGGAGTAAAGCCATACCACATACGCTTTTCCATCAGCAGACTATGATCAATAATGTCAAAAGCCGCACTGAAGTCTAACGAAACAGCTCCCATAATCTTTTCATCATCAATTTCTCTCAGCCAATCAGTAATTTGTGTAAGTGCCGTGCTTGTTGAATGTCCTTCCCTATCAGCGTGCTGAAAGTCTGTCGTCAATTTGTTTACAGTAAAACAGCAGTGTATCTTGTCAAAAGTTTACTAAGGGTTGGTAACAGGATGTTTGGTCGGCTATTTGAGCCAGTAAAGGGGGCTTTTACTATTCTTGGGTAGTGACTTTTGCTTCCCTCCAGGACTGAGGGCACACACTTTCTACTAGGCTTAGATTAAAGATTTGGCAAATAGCAGTGGCAATATTGTCCGCAATTATCCTCAGTAATTTTCCATGCAAGTTTTCAGTCCCCGGTGGCTTGTCATTGTTGATCGACAACAATACGTTTTTCACCTCTTCCACATTCACTTTACAAAATTCAAAATTACAATGCTTGTCTTTCATAATTTGATCAGTTATACTTAGATGCATAGTGTCAGCGTTTGTTGCTAGCATGTCATGCCTAAGTTTGCTAATCTTGCCAATGAAAAAAACTGAGTAATTGGCAATATCAGTGGGTTTTGTGATGAGTCATCTGACTTAATGAATGATGGAGCTGAGTTTGCCTTTTTGCCCAAAACTTCATTTAAGGTGCTCCAAAGATTTTTACTGTCATTCTTTATATACTTTATATTTGTTTCATAGTTTAGTTTCTTATTTTTATTCAGTTTAGTCACATGATTTCTCAATTTGCAGTACGTTTGCCAATCGGTTGTGCAGCCAGACTTATTTGCCATTCCTTTTGCCTCATCCCTCTCAACCATACAATTCTTTAATTCCTCATCAATCCACAGGGATTTAACAGTTTTTCCTGTCATTTTCTTAATGGGTGCATGTTTATTAGTAACTGGAATAAGCAATTTCATAAATATGTGAAGAGCAGCGTCTGGTTGCTCCTTATTACACACCACAGACCAACAAATATTATTTATATCAACAACACAGGAATCACTACAAAACATATTGTATGACCTCTTATACACTATATTAGGCCCAGCCTTTTGAACTTTGGTTTTCCTAGATATGGCTACTATATTGTGATCACTACATCTGATGGATTTGGATACTGCTTTAAATATTATCTTTGCAGCATTAGTAAATATGTGATCAATACATGTTGATGATTTCATTCCTGTGCGGTTTGTAACTACCCTGGTAAGTTGACTGATAACCTGAACAATGTTGCAGGCACTGGTTACAGTTTGAAGCTTTTTCTTGAGTGAGCAGCTTGATGAAAGCCAGTCAATATTTAAGTCACCTAGAAAATATGCCTCTCTGTTGATATCACATACATTATCAAGCATTTCTCATCGACGGGCTGTAGTGGCGGTTGAGAGCTCAATTCCTTGGTGTCCACTCACAAACCATCATTCGTGAAAGGCCACAAGCCATTCCCTCGAACTAAAAGATTTGCATGCCTCAAATTCTCAGTGCACCATCGAGAGCATCCTGACTGTTGCATACACGCTGGTATGCAAGCTTGGCCCCTGACCGCAAGGCACTACAGAGGGTAGTGCGTACGGCCCAGTACATCACTGGGGCAAAGCTCCCTGCCATCCAGGACCTCTATACCAGGCGGTGTCAGAGGAAGGCCCTCAAAATTGTCAAAGACTCCAGTCACCCTAGTCATAGACTGTTCTCTCTGCTACCGCACGGCAAGCGGTACCGGAGTGCCAAGTCTAGGTCCAAAAGACTTCTCAACAGCTTCTACCCCCCAAGCCATAAGACTCCTGAACAGCTAATCATGGCTACCCGGACTATTTGCACTGCCCCCCCACCCCATCCTTTTTTACGCTGCTGCTACTCTGTTAAGTATTTATGCATAGTCACTTTAACTCTACCCACATGTACATATTACCTCAACTAGCCGGTGCCCCCCGCACATTGACTATGCAACGGTACCCCCCTGTATATATAGCCTCCCTACTGTCACTTTACTCTATTGTATATATAGCCTCCCTACTGTCACTTTATTTTTTCACACGTTATCCAGATACTGACTGTTAGCACTTGGTGGTCTACAGCAGCTTCCCACCAGAATGGGCTTTTGGTGAGGCAGATGAACCTGTAGCCATATTACTTCAATAGTGTGTGATGAGTGCTTTCCTATCCTACACAACAATTATTTCATACATAAATCCCATCTATTGTGGACCAGAAACAGAGAGAAGGAAAGAGGACGAAAACACATTAGTGAGACGACAGCAGTTGAGGGGAAACTAAGTGGAAGAGAAAATAAGCTAGGATGCATTTCTGCAAGCACATCCCGGCTGTCTCGTAACAAGCAATTTAAACGCCCCGTCTTCCAGAAGAAGGGGAGGAAAATAAGAAAAAGAAAAGCGCCTTTTCCACATTCCGCTCGCACCGCCTCGTTGCCCGGGCAACCACTTTCATAACACTCGTCGGCGAAACCTGCGGTGCACCATACATATTTTGACAAGTTTGTTGTCAGCCGGCACAAAAGAATGGGAGAAGAGAGAGAGAGGGCCAGAAATAGAAAAACAGAAAGAAAGGGAAGAAAGGGGTTGCAGAGGGAGTAGCAGAATGATTAGGGTAAATACACTTTGATTAAATTGGTCGTGTTGAACTCTGAGACAAAGAAAAAAACATTTGGACATGAGGGACACGGGGAAAAGAGAGGTCACTTTTCAAATCCATTATTTTAGGGACATAGAGCGTCGCTATGCTAGAGCAGGTCTGAAAGGACAATGCTATGTATGTTCTGTTCTAATATCAAAAGTCTAGTGCAGGGGGTCACCAACATTTTCTAGCATGAGAGCTACTTTTAAAAAATTAAACTTGTCTCGAGCTACTATTTTTTTTATAGCTTTCAAATCGTCACATTCTTCTCTTCTCCATTACCCTGTAACTCTTCCCCTGGTCCTTGGTGTACAATAAATGCATTTTCTGTTAATATACCTGGTAAAATAATGTTTAATAAACAACTAAGGGGGCCCCATAAAATTATATTTCCCTGAATTCTGTTTTCTCTTTCCTGGTTTGTGATTTTCATCAGTTTTTTACTCGCAATATTACAATTATTCATAGAGAAATAACGAAAATTGATGTTTTGAGTCCATGTCAATGCTTAAAATACATATGAAGACCATTCTTGAGGTCTGGAAAAAAATGTAACATAAAAAAAAGAAAATGTAATTCCCCTTTAATTGAGCATCTAGCAAGAGAGGAATGTATCGGTGATGTTTCTGCTGTTAGGCCTACTGCTGCAACACATCATGGCAAAGTTTGCAAAACAATCGCCACCCAATTGATACAAACAATCCTTCTATAGTTCTGTCAGGTAAGCCTACTTTCCATTTAACATTTAATTGAGTAGGTTTTAGACTAAAGTCTTTCCGTCTACCCACAAGACTGTTATCATTAGCATTGCTAACTGGCTACATACAGAGTGATAAACAAATGCTTGCACCAAACAGACAGACAGGAGCAATATTCCTGCAAATTAATTTACATTTTTACATTTTTAGTCATTTAGCAGATGCTCTTATCTAGAGCGACTTACAGTTAGTGAGTGCATACATTTTCATACTGGCAGATATTGTGTTACGTTTGAATTTTTTAAGCCAATTGTGGACTAACCAGGGGTGGGATAATGTCAATGTGGCTTGATTGAACTAGACAAGGTGGCAGCAAACCTCCCAGTGGGCATCCACGTCCTTGATTTCACCTATCCTGTGTTTTCAGGTTAGTGCAGATGAAGGAGATTAGGGGAGGAAGCTACCTTTGATTATTGAGATGAGCCCTCATGTGACTTTAGCAGAACAGCTCAAGATGACTAACCCTAACCATAACCATATCATACACCATCATATTATATTACAGCTCAAGATGACTAACCCTAACCCTATCATATTACAGCTCAAGATGACTAACCCTAACCATAACACTAACCCTATCATACACTATCATATTATATTATTATTATTATTATCCCTTTGTATCACTAGTATTTGGAATTCTATACTATACCAAAGACAGAAGCTGTCTTTTCAGAGTCAGTGAAGGTTTTAGCTCAACATGTTTCCCCATATCAACAGATGTCATTGCAGCATGCATGTATTCCCCTTGTATAAACCCTGTCACATATGGCTGTCTATATACCACCTACCAATCATGTTGATAGTGCTTACATTAAATCTAAAGCTAATTGTTCCGAAAAACTACAGTCTGCGTAGCAAGATAAATGTATGGGTATTTCCAGGGTCTTCAAAAGGGGGCTGAACTGGCTAATTTTGCCTCAATTTTCCTCCTCCTCATTAATAAATGTGACTGAGAAGATGAGATTTGTGTCTTGGGGGGTGGTTTGATGTGGGCTGTGAATGTTTGATTGTCTTCTCCCATGTTCTTCTCTCATTCAGCTCTCTTTTCATTTTCTATGTATCCCAACCCTCTTCTTAGAGGTGTTAACAAGGCACTCTCCTCTCTGTGAGGTGTTCTCGCCATCTGCTAACATGTTCATTTGCAGTTTTAGATGAGTGCACGGTACGCTGCGAGAACACTGTGTGTGTGTGTGTTTCACCATGACAGACTATGGAGAGAGAGCGCTCGTTGCAGGAGAACATACTCTCTCTGTATTGTGCATTCTCGCCTTTCCAGCTTCTCTGAATCTCCCATCGAATGTTGGAGAACTTACCAAGCTCGTAACATGTAGCGCAATGGGCAAACATTATTACTGTAAAGAGTACTTGAAACCCTAATTCTAAATCATTGCTCTTCAATGGAAGGTAAACCATAGAAACAGAGGTTGGTCATTCCCATAGCAGAGATAGTCATTCCCGTCACAAATAACAGTAGTCATTCTCAAAATAAATGCAAGTTAGTCCGACCACTTACAGCAGTTATCGAATAGAGATATCGATACAGCACAATAATGTTATCAATAATAAACAATATCCCAAAGACAAGACAAGCGAGTGGGCGGTGTGAGAGCTTACCTCTCGAAGCGGCAGGGATGGAGGCCGATCTTGACAGCCACAGCGCTGCCCGCGTTGAGGTGGCTCCCCTCAATGGTGATGCGAGTTCCCCCCGAGAGGGGGCCCTTAGAGGGCTGTACACGCGTGAAATAGGGAGACTGGGGGTAGAGGAACACACCAAGAGAAGACGTCAGATATAGGAATTCATTTGTTCTGGAATCAACTGTTGTTTTTCAATTGATGAAAGAACACAACCTTACAGAAGGACATTTCAGCACAGGTATGATGGCAGCTTACCACAAAAGTGAAGGCCTTGGGTGAGATGACTTTGTAGTCGGTGTGTGTGCAGTCCCTCACACATACTTCCACGTGAGCCTCCTGAACCCGGTAACCTGTCGCATCAGCCAGCTTGCACACGATCCTGAGAGAGAGAGCGAGAGAGTGACACTACACATATGATCATAGCCATTGACATATCCATAGCATTAGTCCAAGGGTAACCAAGCCATAGAGCATATCAATAGCCCTGCACATTTCCATAGCCATGCTACTGTGTGTGATGGTGAGGACATCCACTTGTACCTTGAGAGGTACGATAGGAGAGAGAGGTTCCATGTGTCTCTATGAGTGTATTAGAGGATATTATAACCCCATAAGCCTTGTGTTTGGCCTTGGGCGGCGACTGGCCAAATGAAAATTCATTTTAGAAATGATTGAGGCAGAGGACGAGAGTCTGAGGTGGTTGGGCACTGCGGGCGAGAATACACACAGACATGTGCTAGCATGTGTGTAATCAGCGCAAACACACCACACACATAGGATTGTGCACACATACACGGATGCATGCATGCACACGCACACAGAGCCCTCACGTTTCACCCTCCTCAGACACTCTGGACTGTTAATTAGCCCCAGAAAATGAGAGAGAGAGAGAGAAAAGAGAGCTGGGTTTAAGTGAGAGGGGGGTGATTAATTGAACAAGCTCGTTTCCTCCCTCCCTCCCTCCCTCCCTCCCTCTATCCGCCTGCGATGAGTTATTAACTCAGCTGCTTTTGTCCTCGCTGTAGGTGGCCACGGTAACCGCTCTCCATCGCCGCGGCGATGACGTCCGCATTCCGATGCAATTATTTGTTTGGTCTCACGCAGGGAGGGACAATGATTAGAGTGAGGAGAGTTTTTAGGAGATGATTGTGTTAATGGAGCCATTTTTACTGGCATCATCACAGTGACGATAAGAGGAATATTAGGTAGACAAATTGGAACCAAATAACAGAGGGAGAGACAGAATTATAAACTGTATATGAGTGTAAGAAAAATAAGATTCTTAAGATGTACAGGTTTATTGGTTTGTGTGTAAACTCTATTTGCATGTACTGTATGCACACGACTTACTGTCAGAGTAAGCGTGTTTGCATGTGTGTGTGTGTGTGCATCTACTCCTTTGTGAGAGCGTGTGGGCTGAGCTTGACCAGACTTGAATAGGCGACGGCCTTCTCCAATCTCCACACCGCACCCACCATTTACCCCTAACCTTTGTGCTCATTGCCGTAACCCACCTCCTCCGTTACGGCTCTGACAGGGTTACAGAGATGACAGGAGCAGTCACTTCCGAGTCGCTCCATATGGGGAACATCACTTTTAATCACCCTGAAAGGTTTAGTGCGGACCACTGCCGCCACATGTTTGCCGTCATGGCAACGTGCCCTAATTGTAACCGGGGAGACGGGGGTTAAGCATTAGCCCTTCACGTTTGGAGGTGACAGCAGGGTTGAAACAAACACAAGTATCCTTGAAACAACTATCTTCATATACAGTAGGGTCCAAATATGTTTAAGTACAGATATAAAGTCAATCAGAAATATCCACACACTTTTATGATTGTAGGCTATTTGTCAGTACCGATGACAGCGACACAGTGTTTTTGTTTGTTGGCAGACTTTGTGGTGCTTCAAGAAATGCAGCTTTCCTTTAGTCATTTATGCTTCAAAACACTCAGGTCCTTCATTTCAGCATCATACACTCTCACTATGAGTCAATGAGAGTTTATGATGTCAGCGTGATTTGAATACGGTTGAAAATGTGTTTGTGCATGATCTGTATCTCTCCAGATGTCAGTGAGCCAGACAAGTCTCCTAGGATGCCAGCAAGTAAGATAATGTGACAATGGGTTAAAAGAGGAACAGGAGAGGGAGAGACAGAGATGAATGAGAAGAAAGTGAGATGGGTAGATAGAAAATAGGGCTAACAGGTGGAGGGAGGGATGGAGGGAGGGAGACATGCATACCGAGAGAGATAAAGAGATGGAGTAAGGCATCAAAACAGAGGACAGAGGCAGGAGGACAAAGAGACTAATAGTCACTCACTGTTCAGCGCTGATGTACTCTGCCTCCATGGGGGTGCAGGCCACCTTGCCGATGCGGACCCCTGTCTGGATGTCCTTGAACTGCAGACCCAGGTTCTCCCCTGTGATGGTCAGCATGGTTCCCCCCTGTCTGGGACCCGTCTCTGGAGACAACTGGAGAGGAGAGCGGACAGACATGAGTTTCTAGTTTTATTTCAAAACTCCAAACCCAACAATGCAGTAACCAATATAAATGTAACACTAAAAATAACATAAGGTAGAACACAAACACAGAATAAATAAAAATAAGAAGAACACGTGAAAGTAAGAAGCTATACACAGGGTCAGTTCCAATATCATATTTACAATGTGCAGGGATACTGGAGTGATAGAGGTAGATATGTACAGTGAGGGAAAAAAGTATTTGATCCCCTGCTGATTTTGTACGTTTGCCCACTGACAAAGAAAGGATCAGTCTATAATTTTAATGGTAGGTTTATTTGAACAGTGAGAGACAGAATAACAACAAAAAAATCCAGAAAAACGCATGTCAAAAATGTTATAAATTGATTTGCATTTTAATGAGGGAAATAAATATCTGACCCCCTCTCAATCAGAAAGATTTCTGGCTCCCAGGTGTCTTTTACACAGGTAACGAGCTGAGATTAGGAGCACACTCTTAAAGGGAGTGCTCCTCATCTCAGCTTGTTACCTGTATAAAAGACACCTGTCCACAGAAGCAATCAATCAATCAGATTCCAAACTCTCCACCATGGCCAAGAACAAAGAGCTCTCCAAGGATGTCAGGGACAAGATTGTAGACCTACATAAGGCTGGAATGGGCTACAAGATCATCGCCAAGCAGCTTGGTGAGAAGGTGACAACAGTTGGTGCGATTATTCGCAAATGGAAAAACACAAAAGAACTGTCAATCTCCCTCGGCCTGGGGCTCCATGCAAGATCTCACCGTGTGGAGTTGCAATGATCATGAGAATGGTGAGGAATCAGCCCAGAACTACACGGGAGGATCTTGTCAATGATCTCAAGGCAACTGGGACCATAGTCACCAAGAAAACAATTGGTAACAGCATGACAAATGACCCAAAACACACGGCCAAGGCAACAAAGGAGTGGCTCAAGAAGAAGCACATTAAGGTCCTGGAGTGGCCTAGCCAGTCTCCAGACCTTAATCCCATAGAAAATCTGTGGAGGGAGCTGAAGGTTCGAGTTGCCAAACGTCAGGCTCGAAACCTTAATGACTTGGAGAAGATCTGCAAAGAGGAGTGGGACAAAATCCCTCCTGAGATGTGTGTAAACCTGGTGGGCAACTACCAGAAACATCTGACCTCTGTGATTGCCAACAAGGGTTTGCCACCAAGTACTAAGTCATGTTTTGCAGAGGGGTCAAATACTTATTTCCCTCATTAAAATGCAAATCAATTTATAAAATTTTTGACATGCATTTTTCTGGATTGTTTTGTTGTTATTCTGTCTCTCACTGTTCAAATAAACCTACCATTAAAATTATAGACTGATCCTTTCTTTGTCAGTGGGCAAACGTACAAAATCAGCAGGGGATCAAATACTTTTTTCCCTCACTGTATAGGGGTAAGGTGACTAGGCATCAGGATATTTGATAAACAGAGTAGCTGCAGCGTATATATGAAGATTGTGTGTGTGTGTGTGTGTGTGTGTGTGTGTGTAGAGTCAGTATAAATGTGTGTGCATGTTATGTGTGTTGGAGTGTCAGTGTGTGTGAGTGTGTAGAGTCCTGTGAGTGTGCAGAGAGACAGTGAAAAAATATAAATAAAATACAAGGGTCAACTCAGATAGTCTGTGTAGCCATTCTGTTAGCTATTTAGCAGTCTTATGTCTTGGGGGATAGAAGCTGTTCAGGAGCCTGTTGGTGTCAGACTTGATGCACCGTACCACTTGCCGTGCGAAAGCTGAGAGAACACTCTATGGCTATGTCTATTATTGTTATAAGCTAGTAGTATTATCATTATACGTTATAGGACTCAAACTTAGGTCCCTGCGCCATTCAGTTCAACACTTTCATTGAGGTCGAAACATCTGGTTTTGACAATATGTATGTATGTATGAATGCCATGCCAAAAAAGCACCATTGCATTGAAATTTAACAGAGAGAGATCTTGATATTGGCTTTATAATGTTCATTTCCAAAATTGTGATTGCACCCATCCAATATATTTCCACAGGTGCATGTTTATATTGGTCATGTTCACACACCGTTCACAGCTCCCACAAGTGATCTTTACTTTTAGCAGGGATCTTTAACACAGCTTCGTTTATACATCCATCCACCCACACAGCCTCTTTGTCAAAACACCAGCTGACCCGTCTTTCCAGTCTCACTATTCATCTCTATTCATCTGCTAAATGCTATTAGAAGGAGTTCAGGTTATTACCCATTTTCTTTAGTGAATGATCCTGAGGGTGCTTTAGAGGTGCTCACGGTAATGGCTGCCCACAGCTGCCCTGTACTGATCAGTGGACCATTTCTCTGGACCTGTACAGACAACTACCCAGTCTCTATCATTAATCTAGCATGATTAACACCTGCGTTAATTAGATCAGTGCTGAGGGTGACATCCATTTGTCTGACCCCCCCCCCCCCCCCCCCCTCCCTGGTTATTCACTGAGGGTGACATCCATTTGTCTGACCCCCCCCCCCCCCCCCCCCTCCCTGGTTATTCACAGTTATTCGCTTACCCCCGCTACAGCTGCTGGTCGCTGAGGTGACATTTTGACCCCCGGCTGGACATATTCGGGGGAGGTGTGTGTATACACGCATGAGGTGAGCACTCTCACAGGCATTTGTGTCCCTCTCTCTCTCACATTCACATAGACATGCAGAGAGGGAGACAGACAGACCTTTACACGTGCATGTGCACACATACCTCCCCTTATCTGTCTCCCTCTCTCTTCTCCCTCTCCGCCTCTCTTTCTCCCTCTCCGCCTCCCTTGCTCCGTCGCCCCCTCTCTTACTCCGTCGCCCCCTCTCTTGCTCCGTCGCCCCCTCTCTTGCTCCGTCGCCCCCTCTCTTGCTCCGTCGCCCCTTCTCTTGCTCCGTCACCCCTTCTCTTGCTCCGTCACCCCTTCTCTTGCTCCATCGCCCTCTCACTTGCTGTCGCCCCCCTCTTGCTCCGTTTCAGTCTCCAGTTCTTTCTCCGTCTCCCTCTTTCTCCCCCATCTCTCTCTCCGTCTCCCTCTCTTTCTCCCTCTCTGTCTCCCTCTCTGTCTCCCTCTCCCTCTCCCTCCCTCTCTCTGTCTCCCCCTCTCTTCCTTCATCTCCACTCCTCCCCCCGTCTGCCCCTCTCTCTCTGTCGCCCCTCGCTCTCTCCGTCGTCTCCCTCTCGCCCCCCTCTCCGTCTGCCCCCTATCTCCTTCTGCCGCCCTATCTCCGTCTCCCTCCTTCGCTCCGTCTCCCTCCCTCTCTCCATCACCCCCTCGCTCCGTCTCCCTCTCTGTCTCTCTCTACATCAATCTACTGTGTAGTGAAGTCCACCTACATGTACTCTAGAACAGAATGCATGTCTGTATCTTTGTTAATGTTCAAGGGATGTTACTAGCCCAAGGCTAGTACGCTAGAGGCTAGCAATAACACACTGTAAAATTATAGTTTCAGGGGACCTGTTTGCCTGTGGCACAGTGTTATAGAAACACCATGGTATAGTGTTATAAAAAATAAAAAAAATACAGTGGTATAGTGTTATAAAAACATAGTGGTATAGTGTTATAAAAACACAGTGGTATAGTGGTATAAAAACACATTGGTACAAAAACAGTAGTATAGTGCTATAAAAACACAGTGGCATAAAAACACAGTGGTATAGTGGTATAAAAACACAATGGTATAGTGGTATAAAAACACAGTGGTATAAGAACACAGTGGTATAAAAACACAGTGGTATAAAAACACAGTGGTATAGTGGTATAAAAACACAATGGTATAGTGGTATAAAAACACAGTGGTATAAAAACACAGTGGTATAAAAACACAGTGGTATAAAAACACAGTGGCATAAAAACACAGTGGTATAGTGGTATAAAAACACAATGGTATAGTGGTATAAAAACACAGTGGTATAAGAACACGGTGGTATAAAAACACAGTGGTATAGTGGTATAAAAACAGTGGTATAGTGGTATAAAAACACAGTGGTATAAAAACAGTGGTATAGTGGTATAAAAACACAGTGGTATAAAAACAGTAAAGAAAAAATAGCCAAATGGAAGTTCTCTCAGGCTGAGAGAAAAGTGTTCAGACTGTTGCATGCAGTGTATTATCAAATAACCTGGATATGAGTCACGTGTATTATCAAATAACCTGGATATTAGTCCTGTACCCCCCCCTTCCTCTTTTTTTTTTTCCCCCTTTCTTTTTTTTTCCCCCTTCCCCCCCCCCCCGGGGGGGCCCCCCCCCCTTTTTTCCCCGCCCCCCCCCCCCCCCCTTTTCCCCCCCTTTTTTTTTTTAAATTTTTGGGGCCCCCCCCCCCTTTTTTCCCCCCCCCCCCCCTTTTTTTTTTTGTGAAAAAAAAAAAAAAAAATTTTTTTTTTTTTCCCCCCTTTTTTAAAAAATTTTTTTTTTTTCCCCCCTTTTTTCCCCTTTTCCCCCCCCCCCCCCCCCCCTTTTCTTGCCCCCCCCTTTTTTCCCCCCCGGGTTTTTTTTTTTGGGTTTTGGTTTTTTTTTTTCCCCCCCCCTTTTTTTTTATTTTTTTTTTTTTTTTCCCCCCCCCTTTTTTAAAAAATTTTTTTTTCCCCCGTTTTTAAAAAAAAAATTTTTAAGGGGAAAAATTTTTTTTTAAAAAAAAATTTTAATTTTTTAAATTTTAAAAAAAAACCCCCCCCGGGGGGAAAAAAAGGGGGAAAAAAAAAAATTTTTTTTTTAAAAACCGGGGGTTTTTTTTTTGGGGAAAAAAAAAAAAAAAAAAAATTTTAAAAATAAGGGGGGGTTTTTTTTTTTTTAAAAAAAAAGGGGGTTTTTTAAAAAAAAGCCGGGGGAAAAAAGGGGGTTTTTTTTTTTTGGGGTTTAAAAAAAAAAAAAAAATTTTTAAAAAAAAAGTGGTAAAAAAAAATTTTAAAAAAATTTTTAAAAAAAAAAAAAAGGGTTTTTT